TGAAAAAAAAAAAAAGACACAAAGTTGAGTAAGAGGCGAAAGGAAGGACTGTAGATCTGGAAAGAGTTGAGGTACGAAGATGATCAAAATACATTGTATGAAATTCTCAAAGAACTGGTAAAATATTTTTAAAATATTAATTGAATTTTTAAATTTTTATGGTTTATTTAACTTTATTTTATGTGCATTGGTGTGAAGGTGTCAGATCCTCTGGAACTGGATCTTCAGACAGTTGTGAGCTGCCATGTGGGTGCTGGGAACCAAACCCGGGTCCTTGGGAAGAACAGTCAGTTCTCTTAACCGCTGAGCCATCTCTCCAGCCCTATTAATTGAATTTTAAACCCAAATTCTGTCACTGAGCAGAAGGTCTTCACTTAAATTTAGCCCTCAAATCAGTTTTTTACTTTCTTGGATCAATCATACTTTAGACTTGCTGTAATCTAAAAACCTCATCAAACGCAGAATCAAAGTATACAAAGTATACTAGCACAAGGTATACTTTGTGCTAGACGTGGCTTGTTTTCTATTTGCTCTTAGCTCTGTAATACATTTGGAATTATTTTTTAAGATCAAAAGAATTAAAAATAACAGCTTAACTGTCAGAGAATTCACATGCGTTGCAACTTATCTATTTAAAGAATATTCAAGACTTTTAAGTTTGGTTTTGTTCAAGGCGAAGTCTTTCTGTGTTTCCCAGGCTGCTCTCAGATTCACACGCCCAGGTCATCTTCTTGCCTCAGCTTCCCAAGTGTGCCACGGTGCCCAGATAATCCAGTGGTTTTGTGTAAGTGTACAAGTGTGCAGTAATCGCCCTAACCATCCTTATAATAGTGAGTTCTTCTGGAAAACAAAGCTCTTGGATGCCAGGGATGCGGCTCAGTGAATAAAACACTTGCTGGACAAGGACCAGAATTCAGAATCTTGGCACCCACATAAAAGCAGAGCTCAGGAGGCAGGGACAGGACTCCTGGGCCAGGCTCTCTAGCTTCCTAGCGGACTCAGTGATTTCCGAGTTCAGCAAGAGAGTCTGCCTCAGTAAATAATGTGAAGAATTCCTGAGGAAGACACCCAAGGTCAGGCTTCCACATGTACTTGCCCACACAGGAGAACAGGCACACACACACACGGTACATGCACACATGCGTACACACACCACATAAACTATACATGCACACATATGCACACCACACACATAGTAATGCACACATTAAAAAGGCACCTTATACCCTGGAGCTATGATATCTTGAGCCTCTCCAACCCTAAGCAATCTTGAATCTATTTTCTGTGTGTATAGATTTGCTTATTCTGGACATTTCAAAGAAAAGGAATCATACAAACCTGCGACTTGGTGAATGCTTTCTTTCACTCGGCATAATGTTTTTTTAAAAGAGAATTTTAAATTTTATGTGCATAAAGGTTTCACCAGCATGTGTGTCTGTTTCCCATGGGCATGCAGTATGGTGGAGGCCAGAAGAGGCCATTGGATCCCCCTGGACCTAGAGTTACCATGTGGGTGTTGGGAACTGAACTCAAGGCCTCTGTAAGAGCAAAACAAAATGCTCTTAACCCATGGAGCCATCTCTCCAGCCCCTTGCCTAATATAGTGGTAGATATTCTAGTTGGTGTGTGGTGGTGGCTGTCCCACATTGGTTTGTGCTCTTATTACAGAAGACCCGAGACTAGATAATGTATAATGAGCAATAATTTAATGTTTTTGCATAATTCTAGAGGTAGAATGCTCAAGGTCAAGGTGCTGGCATCTAGTGAAGGCCTTCTGTGCCATCATATAGCTGAAGGCAGAAGGGCCAAGACATTAGCAAACCAGAGCCAAAGTACCTGCTTCTAATTGACTAATTCCATTCTCAGAGTAGAACCCTTATGGTAAAATGATCTCCCTAATACTGTTAGGATATAATTAAATTTCAGCATGAGCTTTAAGATGGCAGTTGAAACACATGGTGGTTCTGAGTTGCACGCTCTGGATGGCTCGTGTTATTAGAAACTTTTCAGATGCTTTGTGACCACTGGTATATATTTTCAGATCCTCTGCCCACTTCAGTGATATCCAGGCCCATCCTGGGGGTTGTCTTTTCACTTTCTTGATTGTAACCTTGTAAGCACAAACGTTTTTGATTTTGATGAACTCCAATGCTTGTTTTTTTTTTTTTCTTTTGGCCTGTGCTTTGATGTCATCTTTAGAATCCACTGCCATGTCCAAGGTCATGATTTACTGTTCTGTTTCCTTCTAATGATTTTATATTTCTAGACCTTTTATTGTGATTTCTAATTTAGATTTTGAGTTTTTATAGGCTAGAGTGAGATAAGAATCCAACTTCATTTCTCCCTGGTGCTGGGGGTAGGAACAATGGCATAACTCTATATGTGTGTGTGTCTTAGTTACTATTCTATTGCTGTGAGGAGACATCAGGACCAAGGCAACTTATAAAATTAAGCATTTAGTTAGAGGCTTGCTTACATTTTCAGAGGGTTAGCCTGTGACCCTCACAGTGGAGATTGTGGTAGCATACCCCGAAGCATGGGTGGTGGAGCAGTAGCCAAGAGCTCATATCTGATCCCCATGCCTCAGACAGAGAGCAAGATTGAGCCTTGTGAATACCCAGTGTCCCACCTCCTCCAACAAGGCCACACCTTCCCATCCTTCTCAAACAGTTCCACTAACTGGGAACCAACCATTCAGACATATGAGCCCATGGGAGCATTCTCATCTAAACCCCCACATTGGCATCCTTTTAGAAGAGGCTAGCCTGGTAGGAAAGAACAGCAGTCTTAGGTTCCCCTGGCTTGTCTCTTCATGATCCAGAAGCAAGTTCCAGCAGGACCCCAATACTCTCAATGAGTCTGTGGGCAATATAAAGTCTCCATCACATGAGTGGGGATGGTCAGAGGGCAGCCTTTACTACCCTGCCATGCTCACTCTGAACTTGGTCTTAGCAACAGATAGCTGGGGGAGGGAACAGCATCTCTCTCAGGAAAAGTAACCCTGCTCCTCAACTGGGAGCTAAGAGGAGAGGAGTCCTGTGTTTCTGACTAAACCTGAGTGGGGTGGAGTTTCCCTCTCTGCGTGGGAAGGGAGGAGAAAGGGGACAGGCCTTGGCTGGAATGCCACAGACTCATACCTCCCTTTCTGAGGTTCTAGGGGTTTTCTTAACCCTCTTCTGCATAGTAGTGTGCCCATCGGGCCCATCTCTAGAGGTGAATTAATAACTCTCGCTACTTGTGCTGATAGGCAGTTACGCAGAACTCCTTCTGCTGTCTGACTGGTGTGAATTCCATTTTGATAACTCCGCAAGTGAAACCGGGCAATGAGAAGCCAGAGCCTGTGCAACCATTTAATCTGTGTGTATTGATGAAGTGACAACTAAGAGAAGGGTTCCAAACTAAAACTGCATAGAGTTAATGGCGACTAAGGCGGCGGAGGTGGTGGGGGTGTCTATACTTTAAGATGGACCTTTACCCATAAACTTCATGGGGCATCTACTACATAAAAACTATATAGACACCAATGAGCTAATTTGCAAATTAGATTTTTGCAAAAGTGAGAATTAATAAAACTAAGACAACCTGGGCCAAATATCTAGAGAATAAATGCTCCAGTTTTCCAGGCACAGGACAATCCAGGAACACAAGGGTCAGAATGAATCTCTGTGGAGGAAGAGTGAGCCGAAGAGGCTCGGAGAATGCTAGGTGGTATGTAGATCGGGTGGAGGGCAGATGCCATGGACACACTCCGAAGCTGTGATGCTGAAGCCGACTGGTGGTTGGGTAAGAGCCATGAGTGGGCCTGCCTGCTCTCTGGGTTTGCACAGAGAAGCCAGTGTGGAGGGCCGAGTTTGGGAGTGTGGGTATCTAAGGCCAGGCAGAGAAGCCTGGTTGTTACATCACTGAGCTGGGACTTTACCTTAAAAAACAGTAACTTGAGCAAAGTGGTTTCAGAAAAATGGCTTTTCCTGTACTGTGTAGATGGATTGGGGTTGTGGGGTGTGTGTGTGTGTGTGTGTGCGCGTGTGCGCGCGCGCGTGTTTTCAAAACCAAAGTCTGGATTAAGTGAAGGGGTGGAACTGTAAAGAAAGTGTGTAATGGATGGAAAAGTAAGCACAGTAAGTAAATATATAAGTAAATAAAACACTTTAATGCAGGGCGAGGGGGACTGACTTAGTGATTTTATGTCTAAGTTAATGACGACTTTCTCCAGCAGTAACTGTAGTTAAAATCTATTTTTTTTTTGAGTTCACATATTTTTCTTCCCTCTTTATTATTTCAGATTTCTTCCTTCTAGGATCCCCTTGCTTTGAATTTGATCTCAAGTACGTCTGCATGGGTTTGCAGAAGGGAAGCAAGGTTGAACTTCAGGATGAGTTCGTTCTCCTGGAAACAGCTATACAAATGGGAGGCACAGGGCCAACTCCTGCTTTTTATCAGGTCTTGTGACCTTCAAAACTACTTAGGACACTCCGGTCTCCAGTGGGGCTGCATCTCCAGTCTGACTCCGGCTGGCAGGCTCTCCCACGCCTGCCTCGGTGTGTGTAACTCGTGGCTCCGAGGGTAGAGTTGCCCAACCAATAAAAAACCAAAACCAAGCAAACAAACAAAATCCCACTAATAAAAAAGCATCACAAAACCCTGTGCCTTACCAAAGTGGGGTGATGAGAAAAGTCGCGGAAGGAGGAGTCAGTCTTGTCCTTTTCAAATTCGAGTGCAGGGACACACACACACACACACACACACACACACACACACACACACACACTCTGCCCACTCCCCGCCACACTGCACCAGCTTCCCTCCCCAAGTCCTGATTCATGAACCGTGCCACCTTTGTCTCATTTTAAACTGTGCAGACTATTTTAATCCTTCCACCCCCATCTCAGATTTTTTTCCCCTCCCTCCATCCTCTGGAAAGCTCTGCTGTCGAGCGCTCTTAGGGTGGGAAAGCACTTCTCCCTAAAGCTCGGTGAGACGAGAGCCGAGAAGCCCCCTGGCCTGGAGCTCGCCGAGGGCGCGGGGGAAGCGCCCCGGCCCCTTTAAGGTGCGGCGCTCGGCGAAGTGCGGGCAGGCGGCCCGCGAGCCGGCGCGGGGCCAGGAGCCGGGTAGGGAAGTCCTGCCTCCCCCTCCGCCCGCACCGGGCCTCGCGGGGCCCGCACCCTCCGCCCACCGCACCGCGAGGGCCATGCGGCGCCTCTGAACCATGTCGTCCTCCTACGCCAAGAACGGGGCGGCGGACGGACCGCACTCCCCCAGCTCGCAGGTACCGCCCCCTCCTCCACCCGCGCCGCCCCGCGCCCCGCCTTGGTGCCGCGAGTGCGGGGCGCTGGTCCCGAGCCGCGGCTCCCTCCTCCGCGCCTCCTGCCCGCTCCTCCCCCCTCTCCCCTCCTCCTAGCCCGGCTACCGGGCTCAGCGCTCGGGCTCCAGAGTCCGCAGCCTCCTGTCGCCGATGCTGGGGACTCGGACCCCGCACCCGCGACGCTTTGTTAATGGATGTGGTGGGTGCTCGGGGAGGCGGGGAGAGACCAGCTCGGGGTGAGGGGTGGGAATGGGAGCGTTGGGAGGCGCCGGGGAGACTAGGGCGCGGGTTTCGGGGTCCCCGGGGTGATGTTCCCCAGGAGGACTCCAGCCCCGCAAGCCCGCCCGGTTCCGCGCTGCAGTCCTCACTGGCTTCTTTCTGGCCCCGGTTTTTATTGAGTTCAGGTGGCCCGAGGCACCACGACCCGGAGGAGCAGGTTGAAAAGATCCGATGGCAGCACTACTTCCACCAGCTTCATTCTCAGACAGGTAGGAGGCCCGGCCACCGGGAGCCGGGACCCAGCGCGGTCCCCTGCCCCGAGCATGAGTCCGGTGCGCGCCGCTCGGGGTTCGGGGCTCGGTCCTCGTCCCTCTGCTCTCCGCTCCCTAGTCCTGGGGTCCAGCCACCTCAGCGTCTGCTTCCAGCCCCGTCTCTCCTCTCCTGCTACCGTGGCTTCCTAGTGTTCGCGTCCCGACGTCACTCTGTCGCTCTGGGAAGTTAGTTTGTGCTTGTGGACTTGGGTTGGGACGGACAGGGACCTTGGTCCAGAACACTGAATTTAGGAGCTAGAAGTGTTCCTGGCCCACCTTCGGTGCACGGAGGGACACGGGTGACCTGATTTGATGCGCGCTGAGAGTTAGAGGATTTTCTCCGGTCTTTGTCCTATTTTGAATACTTTCACATTCTTGAGAGAGTTCTCTGAGTTCTGGCCAAAAGGAAGATACTTTGAACAGAAAAGTTTAGTCTCATTTTGGCACAGCTTCATCGATTTCGCGTAATTACGGACTGACGGGACCAGCGGTCTGGTGAGACCTAAATAAGCCAGCGCGGGCGCTGTTCCCTGGGTCTGGCTGCTCCGTACCTCGTCGCGCTTGCTTTTGGGTGCTTTACTCGTGGTCAGGGGCAAGTAGTTCGAACCGAAGGTCGCTAGCAAAGCTCGGTCCTCAAGTGCTTGTCACCTTGAGGAAGCAAATCGGCCCTCAGTTTTCGCGCTAGCCAGTGCTGCTAATGGAACCTTCGGAGCCGCTGGATGCTGGAGAAGGCACGCAGAAGTGCTCACCTTGATCCCTCTTTGGAGTGTGCTCCTTCCTGGTGGGTTAGGGAGTCTGGTCATTGCCCCTTGAAGCATTTATCCCAGGTTCTGCCCTGGGCTGCAGGAGTGACCTTGAGAAATACTTTTCTCTCTAGGTCACCCTGAGCGTGGTGTCCTGTGTGATTCTAAATTACTATGGCAGCCGCGGTTTTTTTTTTTTTTTTGATAATTAGTTTAAGCACATTTTCAAAGTACAATACGATTTAGACTCAAAATTGGGCTCTGACAGCTCTTAAAAGGTCTATAAAACGTATTTGGGTAATATTTCCCTGCACATTTGTGCGTTTTGCAGAAATAGAACCTTTGGCTATCAATTTGTAACGCAGTGTGGTGTGCGTGCACTAAGCATTCACATTATTCAAACGTTCGGAATCTGCACCCTTGTGAAAGCACACACCACCCTCTTGGCAGAGCAGGGATGATTTGTGTATTTGATAAGGCGAACCCATTGCTCAGCTTAAAATATTTTTTAATTATGCAACTCTTTGAGTTCTTTATGTTTATTTTGTAGGCGCTCGTTTTGGTAGTGCAGATTCTTGGAAAGACTAACTGTACGGTGATGCATCCTGTGAGTTGTTAGAGTGAGACCTTTGAATTTACACTACCTCTACTTTACATTCTGAGCCCAAATAAAACAGTATCCTTTCTAACACTATCCTATATAATAGTTTCCTATTTTATGTCAGTAAATAGTTGAAACTATACACACACACACACAACCCCGCAATCTTGTAGAGTGGACTGCTGTATGTAGGCTTAACAACATAACAAATATATTGCAAAGATAGTTTTGAGATTTACTTAGACCAGTGCAGGTTTTGAGAATAAATATAGTTCATAAATCTTTCTGAAACTGGGTTACTGATCTCATAAAATGGTCCAAATTCAGGAATTAATTGTAACGGATAATATTCTTAACTTTGGCACAAAACAATATCTACTTTGGGGGACCTTCATAACACAACACACCGCTAAGCATCATCTAATTTAAATAGCATCATATAGACCTCTCTAAATGGCCACATTTCAGAAGGACAGATTCATATTTTTGGATGGAATGAGAAATAATTATGAATGGCTGTTTAATAGTGTCCTCTGAATGCAAATGGACAAACCCTTTAACAGAACCCTCTAAAGAGTGACAGTGATTTATTAATATTTAAATAGTTAAAACTTTAAAATTACATAGGTTGATGATTGTGTGGGGGTGGGGCTACCGTGTGCACGCGGAGGTTGGAGGACAACACGCAGAGTCTCTTCTCTCCTTCCACCATGTGAGTCCCAGGTGCTGAGTCCCAGGTGTTGAACTCAGTTGCCCGTTAGTTGGCAGCAAGCACATTAGCCCATTGAACCCTCTCCAGCTTCTGAATATCTCCATACTGTGAGGTGCTGGAAGTTCCTGGTGATGTTTCACCTTCTGCTCAATTCCCATTTACATTTGATGGAGGAAGAACGTTCACTAAAAATATTCCGTACGTTGTCCCAGATATGGAAGACTAGACAAACGTTAAGAGGGGCAGTCGCAGGTTTAATAATGAGAACAGTTTTCCTCCTTTGGCCCGGCGGGTGTTTTGCTGCCTTTGTGTGTACACGCACACGGAAGTGTTTGCATATACACACAAGCTGGTCTGAAAACAAGGATACCGAGAGGGGCTGCCTGGTCGTCCATAGCTTGGTCCTGGAAACCTGACTGGGAATGAAGAAATGGCAGATACTGACATGACAGACACACATGTGGAAAAGCCAGGACCGGGTGAGCTGTGCTCACTCTGATGGAGGGCACCCACTACAACGCTCAGAAACTACTGTGTTTGGCACAAGGAGAGCTTAGCTAGTCTCCTAAGGTCTCTGTAGGGGGCAGTCTCAGGCTGCTAGCTGCGGTTGATAGTTGATATGCACCTGGGTCAATTGCTACTGAACCCTCAGACTTGAACCAAAGGAAGGCTTTGCCATTCCTCTGAGCCTCACCCGCAGAAAGTTTTTCCATTTTACCCTGTCTGCTAGATTGCTGGCTCCCCCAGTTTAGGAGGCATGAGGGTTTGGAACGGATCCAGGGAGACACTCAATGGTTTCTTTGAGGAAAGGTGAGAAGACGAACTGTTTTGCTACTGAGAGGAAGGCAGACGATCCCCAAAGGACTTAAGCCCGTGACCTTCCAGAGTGCACACAGTCAGGTGGTGGAGATCACCCAGGAATGGCTTGCACCCGTGATGTTTCAGCGTGTACACAGTCTAAAGGCGTGTTCTTGCTCTCCACAAAGGACGAAATTCTAAAGTTAGAAGGGCAGGATGCTTTACAGCAAGAACTTCCAGTGGATGCTGCTATCACGGGGACAGCTTTCTCCCCGTGGAGTGGCCATGGGATTCTCTCCCAGGAGGTCTCCGATAGGCTGTTTGTGGATAGAGCCTGTGTCTGTGGCTTGCTCACGTATTGGAGAAGCACTTCAGCATTTGTTTGTCTCCGGCTCACGGATAGGCACTGTGAGAGAAGAATGAAGGGGCTTAGATTTTGTACTCTAAGATGTTTATCATCGAGTTGTGGAGACAAAGGGGACACAAACAGTCCAGTGAAGGTGGCAGCAGGCAGGCACAGTGACCAGTGACTGTGCACGGGTCTCACAGAGCCTGTGTCATGGATGGCAGAGTATTAACTTAGCCCTCTTCCCACTCGGGTTTGAAAAGGAAATCGGATGAGGGGGTTGGTTTGTTTTCTTCTTCTTCTTCTTCTTCTTCTTCTTCTTCTTCTTCTTCTTCTTCTTCTTCTTCTTTTTATTTTTTGTTTTTTTCGAGACAAGGTTTCTCTGTAGCTTTGGTGCCTGTCCTAACTAGCTCTTGTAGACCAGGCTGGTGTCGAACTCCCAGAGATCCGCCTGCCTCTGCCTCCCGAGTGCTGGGATTAAAGGCGTGCACCACCACCGCCCGGCTTTGTTTTCTTCTTATTGAGCGAACTTTCATGAAGCCCTTTGTAGGGTCTGGCCTTTATCTGGTGATCTCTTATGTCTGGCTTCAGAGCTTAAAGGCACCATCCTCCTGCCTCAGGCCCTTTGCACATGCTGAGTGCCTGTGTGAAGGACTTTGTCCTGCTCTTATACTATTAGCTTTTAATATTCCTCAAGATCTAAGAGTTTAGATCTTGTGGTTTTTTTTGGGGGGCAGGGGGAGATATTGTTTCACTCCGTAGCACAGGCTAACCTCAAATTCATGACTGTCCTCCTGCCTCAGCTTAAGGATTTAGTCTGACTTCCTTTTCTAAGCTCCCTGACTAGGTATATTTTCTAAGGAGGTGCTTCTGGAACAACGTGCCGGTGCTCATCTCTAGTGGCACCTCTCCACTGCAACTCAAGACAGACTAGATCTCTCTCAGCGTTTGTCCCCGACTGACTCGAGCGCCAGGAGGGGGAGGGAATGTCTGCACTCCATCTCTGCACCCTTGGCATTGGGCATCGCCCATTTGCAGTGCATCGCCCATTTGAATGAATGGAGAGGATGACTTCGGGGATGAATTTCTGCTGAAAGGCAGAGACCGCTTCCTACCAAACCTCCCTGACCCCGAATTTCATAGCTTAAAATAATTTATTTCTGAGCACTGACCAGATACTCTTCTGCCTTGCATGATATTGCATGGGCACAGGGATGGTGGGGAGGTCCAAAATAGCCTCTCACATGTGGTTGGCAGTTGGTCCTGGCTACCAGCTGAGAGAACTCTGCTGGGGCTTTTGGCAGGGGGGTTGCTTTTCCTCCACCTGTGCCTGCATGGCTGTTTGAACTTTTCGATGTTATGAGGGCTGGAGTCTAAACTGGGCCATCCCAATCAGCAAAGATTACATCTGCAACTGTCCTAGGCTTCAGTTTTAGAAGCAATCCCTTACTTCCTTTGTATTGCATAAGGTAAAACAGCCTCAAGAGCCTACTCCATTTCAAGAACAGAAAGGGAAAGTGTGTGTGTGTGTGTGTGTGTGGTGTGTACAGGTGTGTGTACAGCTGTGGTTAAGTTCATGTGCACATATGTGTGTTGCTGTGGATAAGTTCATGTGCACATATGTGTGTGCAGATGTGGGTAGGTGCATGTGCACATATGTGTGTAGAGGTGTGGGTAAGTTCATGTGCACATGTGTGTGTATGGGTGTGGATAAGTTCATGTGCGCATGTGTGTGCAGGTGTATGTAGGTGCATGTGC